GTGTGTGTGTGTGTGTGTGTGTGTGTGTGTGTGTGCAGGGCGGGTGGAGGTGGGAGGCAGGGGTGCTGGCCAGAAAAGCACCGAGTCCCGTGAGCAAGGGCAGCCAAGCCCTGGAAGGCCTTGATCCGGGTGTGGCTTGATATTTCTGACAGGCACTTGCCCATTTCACAACATCATCGGCACACCAGCTTTTTACTGCCATGTGAAACATCCACTTGTCTGTGGCGCCGTGCCGGACGGGCCAGGATTGGGATAGACAGAACGTGGGGTCTGAGACCGATACGTCCATGCAGGTGGACACACAAAGTACACGGAGGAGTGCTTGCTTGGCACAGATAAGCAGGGATGTGTTATGGTCTTCTCTCTGTGACTGAGAGACACCACAGACTCCGAGGTGGACCCTGGTAGTGTCTGTGTTCCAGGCTCCCTGCTGTTACCTCATTGGGTCATTAATTGTGTTGAGAAGCCAAACCCTTTTTTTTTTGTTCCCCCTTCCTGTTAGCCTAAACACAATTAGTGGGCATATCCATTGCAAAAGAAATGATTACATCCCTGCCTCAAACAAAATAGACTTCAAAGGCCCTCCTGTAGTCCCCTTATCTGGCTTTTCTGCAGTGCACAAAAGCCCTCAGCCGAGTGTGGCAGGCCTGGCAGGCACCTCGGGAACATTGCTTTCCCCGTTTTCCACCTCAGCTTTTCCTTTTCAGCCGCTTCTCACACACAGAGAAGTTGAAAGAATTGCACCACACCTGTAAATCCTTCACCCGACTTAATCGTTGCTAATACATTGTCTTAGCTGCCTGTCTCTTACTAGATGTATACACACGTTTGCTGCTGTGAAAGGGTTTCATCGCGAGCGCAGACACCTGGACACTTTCCTACCAAACATGCCGGCCTGCATCCCCTTAAGAACAAGCACCTTCTTTGTCTTTCATCGGTGCCATTGTCACCTGCCTCCATGCCCAGATGGAGCCTCCTGAGTCTGTGACACTGTTTACTATGCAAGTCACATTCAGGTGTCCCCAGCTGCTTTGTTTTCCTTCCGATCACGGTCCAGGCAACGTCCACATATTGTGTGTAGTGAAGTCTCTTGAGACTGTCTTGATCCGCACATGTGGCTCTGACATAAGAGCCCTTGGGAGGCTGGGGCTGGGCCTGGTCGGGCTTTGGTCTGTGGTGTGCAGGGTTGCTGCGGGCCAGATCTGACTGCACAGCGCCTAGCACACAGCAACAACGCAGGTCTGCTCTGGTCTAGAAGCAGGGGCAGAGTACCCAATAAGCGAGGTAAGCATGGGTTTCCTGGTGCTTAGTTACTCACCCGCAGTGAGCAATTTCACATAGACTCCCACAGTCATGATATGGTGACAAACACATAAGACTGCTCGCTATAGGCATACGTGGAAACACCAGTCAAGCCCACGTCGATCTTGCTTATTGGGTACTCCGTCTGCGGATTTGAAAGGGGGCCCTGCTTCTGCAGGGAGGTGCCGTGCGGTTAGGCGAGAGACATACAGAGGCTAGGATGTGGTGACAAGATGTGAAAGCTTCCCCTGTGGATTGGTTAGTAAGCGCGGGGATGGTCTATGATACAAGTGAGCTTATGCCTGCTTAACCTTCTTAGCTTCTTGGGTCATCCCACACTCTCTCTCGAAGCCTTTAGATATACACATGCAAATATATAAAGAATCTGTTTAAAGTTCATGGAAAAAGTGCATTTTTTTGTTCTATGTTTTCATGAGCTTTTTGAAACCCTCTCCTCTGTATATAGATGGATACCGTATATACATACACACATATTAAAATCACACACACAATTGATTTATTTTAATGACATTAACCTTTTCCAAGCGTCCAGGATTATTTGCCTGGAAGAATGCCTCACATTCCAGGTTTGTCTGACTGTTTTCTCACGGGGCCATCTACCTTGGGGGACCTGTATTTACATTTTCTCCATTTTACGGAGAGTTGAGTTATCACTGGCCAGTGCACTTCATGGTGGTGGGTGGTGGGGCGGGGGCAGGGCATGCAGGGTCTCATGGTGGGCAGGCTTGTAACCATAAAGCGTGTGTGTGATGTGAGGAATCGTGTGGAGGAGGGGGATGATGGCCACCTGGGTGATGAGCGGGGAAGAAGGGGACACAGAGCTTGTGAGCTACTTGAGAAGGACTAGGTGGACCAAGGGGATCGAGAGGCCTGGTGGGGCTGCTGGGGCCCCTGGCTTTGGAGAGCGAGGGAGACAGCCATGAGGGGAGGGAGGTATGAGGCAACTCTGCAGGGAAAGTGGTGAGAAATGCAGACTGGAAAACCCAATTGGATTGTGGGGAGTGGGAGCTGATGGACTCACTGAGCCCCCCCTCACCCCCTCAAGAGCAAGTCCCACGTCCCAGCGGGTCAGCACCAGTGTATCCATGTGGGGTCACTGGCTTTTCAATGTCCTTCTAGTGAGCACTCCCCGAGTCTCCAGGAAGTCTGACCTGGCAGCTTTAAGGCAGAAACCTGTGCCTCTGAGGGCCATAGACCTGCCTCATCATCTCAGGTAGTACGAGGGCAGCCTCCCGGCTCATCCTCACCTCCCTAGAAGATGGAGAAGCATCCGAGGAAGTTACCTGGGGCTGGAGAAGGGCAGAAAGCCTTTGGTTTCACGGAAGTCAGGTGAACCAATGAAGACAACAACCCAGATCCATAAACGGGCCCAACAGTGAGGCGGTAAATTGCGTATGTGATAGAGGTCAGTGGCTTCATTAGTGTTGAGGGTCAGCGGACTGAGTGTAGCCTGAGGTGCCCACAGCAGTTCTAAAGCTGGTAGAATGGACTTTTGAAAGGGTTGGAGTGTGGGAAACAGAAAGGTTATTCCCCAGATTGGCGCCCCCCATATTACATGCCACATGGTTATGACCATCCATTTAGAGGTCAACTGCCTAAAGGTTATCTCCCTGAGGGTTATGAGCCATTCTAGAGCAATCAGACCCTATAGTCGGTCCCACCTTAAGTAGGGCCCACTTCCTTCTGATAAGGACAATGGATTGTCCCCCTGAAGGAGAGCCCAAAGACTAAGGTCAAGCCAACTCAGGGAGGACCAAGGAAGACTGCCATCTTGACTCTAGAGTAAGGTGACCAGATTTAAAGCGGGACACCATTGACTGGGGGTGGGGCGGGGGTGGGGTTTCTTGATTTAAAATAGGTCTATATGGACCAAATAGACCGTTCCCTAGCTTGTTGTGCATTCTTTCCAAAAATCGGGACTTTTAAAAAACACCAAAAATCAGGACTGTCCCGCCAAAAGCGGGACGTCTGGTCACCTTACTCTAGAGTCTGCCCATCTTGTCACATGTGTGCCCCTAGTGCCTCCCTTTCCTATTGTGTGAACACCCCTAGCTCGCCCCCCTCCTGTTGCACACACGTATGCCTATTGTACAACCCTTCCCGTTACACCTGTGGTTACCTGTAAGTAGGGGGCTTGCATGCCCCCTGAGGGTGTATAAGCCTTGATTGGAAATATGTTCACTCTCTGTGCAGACCTGGCTGCTAAGATCCTGGCCGTCTTGGAGTGAGTATTTGCAGCTGTATCTTGTCTGATGTCTCTTTCATTTTACCCCTCATTATGCAACCATCCCTTGGACCCGTTCAATTGTGGGGGCTGGTATCCCACATTGGAGGGGAGGGAGAAGGGGCAAAAAGGAGTGTGAGAGTGGCAGTGGTGTAAAGGCAGAGTGGATACTGGGGGTGGGAGGATGGGGAAAGGTGCCGTGCTCATAGCTGGACTTCTGCCCAACACGAGGCCTTCTTGCCTATTCCTCGGCAAGTCCACCCAGCAAGGAGGCCGCTAGTTGGCATGCTGATCCAGGTCAGAGGGCATCTGGAGGAAGGAGCCCTAGACTGGACAGTGAGCTAGCCAGGGAGGAGCTGCCCGGGAGGAACACAGGCAGTAGAGTTGGCTCGGCGGAAGCTTCTGCGAAGCTGGGCTGAGCAGGAGATGAGCAGGGTGGCCAGGTGGGGAGCGAGTCTTTGGAGAGATGGAGTCAGCTGGAAACAGTATTGGGCGGGGAGGAGGGGGAGGGGGGGAAGGGGGGGTAGTGGATGGATAGAGAAGTTTGCAGGGAAAGGTGGGAATGTGATATCGGAGGTTAGAGGGAGGCTAGCCACATGGGGTCCCGTGACCTTCTGTTCTGTGACCTGAACATGTGTTGGGGCTCAAAAGTGATTCTGTGAGCTTTTCAAGTCTCAGGGCTGGGCAAGCAAGGGGCTTCACAGGGGTCTTGTCCCTCTGGGTTTCACTGGTACTCTGGTCTCCGTCTGTCTGTGTGGCCTTTTGGGCCTAGGCTTTGTTTTTATTGTTCTTTTTGCTTTTCACCACCAGTTCTCTCACTTTGGTTTCCCCTGCTTTCCCTCCACAATCTCACCACACAACATCCACTAAGCCCGCTGCCAAACAGGCAAGCCTGACTCACAGGGACCTGAAAGGACAGAGGAGAACAGCTCCTTTGGGGTTCGTTGTGGGAGCAGAAAGCCTCATCTTTCTCCCACTGGTGGATTCGAACTGCTGACTGAGCAGTTAGCAGCCCAACTCATAACCTACCACTCACCAGGGCTCCTGTTGGCCACAAGGCAGCGAATAATCCAATCTCAAGCGGTGTGGCACTGACAAGTGCAAAGAACCCCCAGGGGGAGCGGTTCTCCAAAGCTGGGGCCATCACTTTTCAGAGCAAGGTGGGAACTTTTAAGTCATAGATCCGGTTTCAAAATTCTGGCCCAGGTGTTTATCTGGGCCACCATGAGAAATCATACAGGAGGGGGAACGTTGGCACCCGGGGCTGGACTTTCCTCGCCTGTACACGGGAGATGCCAACGCTTACCCTCCAGGCTTTGTTGTTAGCTGCTGGCAAGTTGGTGCCAACTTGTAGTGACCCTTTGTCAACAGAACAAAGCCCCGTCTGGACCCTTGTCATCTGACACATGTTGCTGCATTTGAGCCCATTTTTCATTGATCTTGGCGAGGATCGCCCTCTTTTTCACCAGGCATGATGGTTTCTCCTGACAACATGTCTAAAGTCCACAAGATAAGTCTCACTCTCCTTGCCTGACCTGAATAGTATGTTGGGGGTGGTTTTTTTTAAAGATTGTGGAAAAAATCCATTATCTTTAGGTTCCATTTCCCCCCATGAAATGCTTGAAGCCCCTAGTGTAGGTAAAGTACCCAATGAATTGAAAGTACTTAATTAGGATAACCCTATTTTAATAATCAGTGTTGAACGGAGCCCATGATGGGGTCTAAAGAGAAAGGAAGTGAGGCAGGGGGAAGGAGACCGGGACAGGATTCAGCATGACTTCTGGTGGAGGGGGTGGTGGGGGATGCTGAGTAGAATTTTAAGAGCCTCGACTTCCTGAAAGGACATGGAAGTCAACAGTGTCAGCTGACACCAAGTTGGAGGGAGTCTGAAGCCAAGTGGCGTGGTTAGAGGAGGTGTTTGGTGACCTCCAGTAGTAGTTTGAACAAAGGGCTGTAATGGAATTAGACCTTGGCCAGCACAGAGGCCTTCTGCCTCCATCGGTGTGTCTCTGGCCCTCCATGCCAGCATCTTTGTTTGTTTGTGTTGCTTCTTTTGCTCTGAATCTGTCCATTTTCCCCCTCCTCTCCCTCCCCTGGCAGGACATGGAACGCAGGCACCAAGAAAAACTGAAGATGCAGGAGGAGATTAAGCGGATCAATGATGAAAACCAGAAACAGAAAGCCCAAGTGCTGGCGCAGGAGAAGCTGGCAGACCAGATGGTGATGGACTTCACCAAGAAGAAGATGGTAGGAATCTGGCCCCTGATGCCTTGGGTCCTCTGAAGGGCAGGAACTGTCTGTCAGTCAGTCTGTCTGTCTGCAGGTCTGAGAAGGAAGGCCCTCCAATGGAAGGCGGTCATGTCCTCATTCTAAAATTCAGGCCAGTGCCTTCTAGGGCCTGCCCTCCTTTCCTCTCCACCTTGGCCACTGCACTTGCTCATTAGTCTAAAAAGGACACCCAGATTGGTGTGTTATTATCCTTGTTAACACCTTTGATTGGGAGTTGGGAGGAGGGTCATGTGCGGGTAGGGAAAAAAAATGAAACGTATTGGTGAAAGTGAAGTTTTTGTGGATTCCTCATGACCTCTATAATTATGTCCCCAGGAATCACGAACCAACTGCCCTGTGAATTCCCTCTGAAAACGCTCATATTGGCCGGCCTCTGTTGGGTGCTACCTTCAGAAAATAAAGCCCCCTTCCACACTGTGGGACCTGTAGGGACAAATGCACCTGGGGGAGAGCAACACCCACAGACAGGCACAGAGGCACGTAGCCTGCCAGTGTGGAAGGGAGCTGTGGAATGATTAGCATCTGGGGGCCGGGCCTTCAAAGACAAGCATCAGTGTTTAGCACAGTTGAGATCAGTGGTTCTCAACCTGTGGGTCGCGACCCCTTTGGGGATCGAATGACCCTTTCACAGGGGTCGCCTGACTCATAACAGTAGCAAAATGAAAGTTTTGAAGTAGCAATGAAAATGATTTTATGTTTGGGGGGTCAGCACAACGTGAGGAACTGTATTAAAGGGTCGCTGCGTGAGGAAGGTTGAAAACCACTGGTTTAGATGGAGGAAACACGGTTTTATGTAAAGAGAGGAGGAAGCCCCCTCGGTTATTGGATTCTCCATGAGTGGGTCCTTTCCCCTCTGCCAGTTTCCAAGTCCCAGGACCACAGGAATCGCTCGATACTTCTCTGTGGCTCCTCCTTAGTAGTGACCCCTAAGGAAGGGCAGGGAGAAGGGGTGGGGGTGCTTCACAAGGCACATCTGATATGCCCATTTATTTCAAAGGAAAAACACTGAGAATAAAGCTCAAAACCTGGGTGCATTGGCCTTGGTTTGGGGCTTTTCCATTGGCTGCAAGGGATGTGTAGGCAGTAGACTAAGACAGCAAGACTGGGGTCACAGATGGTTTGTACAGAATCATGACACTAACTACCATTTAGCGAGCACTTAGTGTCACTTAGTCTGTGCATAGGCTCTGTGCTAAGTGCTCTACATATGCTATCTCATTTAATCCCGTACAATAACCACATGAAGTCCTCACTAATTGATTAAAAATGTACCGACTACTCCAATGTGTGTCTACGATTAGACCAAACGCAAAGAGGGAAAGTACCTAGAAGGATCCTGCATGCATCGTATGGAACCTGGGAACTATGAAAGGACTTGGAAAAGCTCGTGGGAAAAACAGATCCATTATCTTTGCATCCCATCTTTCCACAAACATTTTGAAGTCCCCTCATATTTCCCTGAATGGATGGGTGACAGTGGCGTGTAGGTTTGCTAACTAAGGAGAGAGCCTGGAGAGAGAGAGAGAGAGGGAGAGAGAGAGAGAGAGAGAGAGAGAGAGAGAGAGAGAGAGAGAGATTGCTGAGAGCGGTTGTTGGGATGCCTTCAACCGCGGGCAAAGCGGGAAGTGAGGGATGATGAGCAGTCACCTTCGACTTCTGAGCAGGAGAAGAAAGTCTTGTCTTCTTACAGGGAAGGACATTGGCAGGGTGGAGCCTGGAGGGGCTGAGGACTGCAAAGGGATCAGGAACCTGCTCATGCCTACAAGGAGGACGGTGAAAGGACAAACCAGTCTGTCTTGGAAGAAGTACGACAGAGTGTCCCTGAGAGGTCAGGATGGTGAGACTGCCTCTTGCATACCTTGGGCAGGTTGTCAGCAGAGACCAGCTCCTGGAGAAGGACACCATGTTTGGTAAAGTAGAGGAGCAGAAAAAAATGAGGAAGGCCCTCAAGGAGATGGATTGGCACCGTGGCTGAAACTGGGGGCTCAAGCAGAGGCACAATTGTGAGGACGGGCAGTGCTTCATTCTGTTGTGGATCATAACTGACTGGATGGCGCCCGATGACAGCAACAAGAACAAGTGTCCCGCTGTATCACAGGTCCTCTCCTGCCCTCATGGGGGGGGGGGGAGGTCTGTTCTTGCAGCCAGGACATCCATTTCCAAGGTACGGGCAGAGGTTGGTTGTGGAAGCACCCAGAATCCCTTGCCACACCATCCAGGGCAAAGTGATCAGAGGAACTAGCTTGACACACAGCTGGGCACGGCTCACGAGCAGGCCGCTCATTGGCTTTTCCAGAATCTGGGCAGATGGGGCCGGTCGCTGTGCGTCAAAATGGACTCGATGGGCAGGGAGTTTGAGTTTGTGGCCAGTAGCATGAGGGCCTAAGGATTATTCTTCACGGGAAAAATCCTATTTCCACCCAACCTGCCCCATTAAGCTGACTTTGGTAACTGTGTAGAGATGCACCCATTATTTTAGAGAACTGGTCATTAGCTGCCATTGAGGCAGCTTTAACTCATGGGCAACAGAACCCAGCATCGCCTGGTCCACCATCTTTACGATTATCGGCATGCTCCATTTCAATGCCGTGGCCACGGTGTGTTTGAGTACCTGCCTGCCGACCTAGGGGCCTCATCTTCCAGCACCATGTCAACCTGCAGGCTGCTGTGATGCCGACTCACAGCGCTTTCCCTGGCCAACTTTCAGAAGTTAAGTATCAGACCTCTCTCCTGAGTCTGTCTTAATTTAGAAAAGCTCTGCTGGCATTTGAAATATCATTGACGTATGTGGCAGTTTTATAATCTCCTGTCAACTTGAGTGAAGGGTGGAGTCTCTAGCCTGTCAGGTCATAGCCAGTGATGCCTCTGTGTCGGCATGGCCTTCTGAGGATTCTGGGAACTCCTGTTTTCCTCCCTGGAGGCAGGGCACACATTCTCTCTGCTGACAAGCCACATGGAGCTACCGGTATGTTGATGGAGCCAGAGCTCTGGAGCTGGAGGAACCACATGGAGACCCACACCAGCACTGAGATACTTCTACCACCATTGGATCCAAAAGACTTTCCACCCATTGGCCTGTGATTTTCCTGCACTTGGCATCATTGCATGTGCTGCATGAGTCTGAAGTGGAATGTACACTGGACTTATGGACTTGATCTGGACGGAGCTGGAATGTTTTATTGATGCATAATTACTTCTTGATGTAAAGTTCTCTCTAACACACATATGAGTGCCTCTGGATTTGTTTTTCTAGTCAACCCGGCCTAATTTCTACTATCTGAGCAATAGGCAAGTCAGTATCGAATGACTGACCGACAGAGAGGGGTGGTGGAGAGAAGTGGTAAAGGGAGTCAATTCTGGTTCATTTCCTAGGCACCTATTACATGCTGTGGGACTGCAGGAGGCATGTTTGGACCTTTGCCCAGGATCTAAAGAGATAACCTCTCCATGCACTGTGCTTTATCAGACAGGCAGGAACCACAACTGTTCTTTGCAGGAACTTGGCCCAGTGGTCTTGCAACCTGAAATGGTCTGCGATGTAATAGTAGAGAGAGGAGCCTGGCATTTCAACCTGGGTTCAGATCTTTGGGGTGGTTCATTAGCTATGCAATCCCCGCAGTTGAGATCAGCACTTGGCATGCCAGACTCCTCACCAAGACTGACTCATGGAAGATCTTCTCCGATAACACATGTGAAGAACACCAAGCATTCTGCACATGTCTGTAGCTTCTTGTTTGGGTATTGCCAAGTTCAAGTGTGCCCTGTCTTATAAGGAGGCTTCGTGATGCTCTCGGCAGTTCAAACCCATGAGCTGCTCCCTGAAGGAAGACCAGCAGGCTGCTCCCATCAAGACTGCCCCTCTCTAGAGTTGCTGTGAGTCAGAATCAACCGGGTGTGAGGTTTTTATAAGGAACCAAGAAGTCGCAGGGGAGACCTTGGACTTTATGGGAGCTCTGTGTAGGGACTTCGTTTCTCTTTGCACGAGGTGGTGGTTAGCCGGCTCCCGCTGACCTGTGAGCGCAGAGCAGGCTGCTCCATAGAGTTTTCGAGGCTGCGACTCTTTGGAAGCTTTTGCTAGGTTTGGCTTCCCACATACCTTGGAGTGGGTTTGAACCTCCCACTTTGAGGCTAGGAGTCAGGGACGTAAGCACTTGGGCCACCCGGGGACTGCGATGCTAGCCTCCTGGGAGTCGGTCTTCTTTCGTTACCTCGCCTTTTCTTCCTGGCAGGCTCGAGAAGCAGAGTTTGAGGCTGAGCAGGAGCGGATCCGGCGGGACAAAGAGAAGGAGATCACCCGGCTGAGGGCCTTGCAGGAGAAGGCCCAGGATTACCAGGCCGAACAGGTACCCGTACAGCCTCAGCGCCCTTCTCCTTTCCCACCCACCTGCCTCCTCCTGTGACAGGACGGATAGTGAGCTCCCGGGCAGAGGCGTGAGATGAGAGAGGAGGGCACAAGTTATCTAGTCTTCAGTTGTCTGAGGGCCATAGGGTGGGCCTGCCCCCATTGTCTCTAGCAGGAAGGACCGAGCAGTGCACCATGGGCTCCTGGTCCAAGAGAAAGTCTCTGGATGCTTTGCTAAAAATGACTTTCAACCTTGACCACCGCAGTGTGTCACCAGGGGGAAGTGGCAGCATCTCCGTCATTAGCAGTTTTTTAAAATTAGAATCAATTGCAGGACTGCCCGGGAAGGTGTTTGCGGTCCAGGGAAAGAAGTGGGCTAAGTGGGATGGAAGGACAAGGTGCTTGTCCTGCAGGGTATATTCTGACTCGAACGCTTTAAGACAGGATCCCATTCATTCCCCCCACCCACTTCCCTGACAATAATTTGCTGCTAGCAAAATGGATGGGGCGTCCCAAAGCAGACCCTCCATGCCTGCCAGGAGGCACCTGGTAGCCACTGGAAGTGACTTTGCACCCTCCCCGATCCCTTTCTTCCCCACCCTCTGCTTTCTCAGGATGCTTTGCGGGCCAAGCGCAACCAGGAAGTTGCGGACCGGGAATGGCGCAGAAAGGAAAAGGAAAACGCTCAGAAGAAGCTGGAGACGGAGGCCATGCTGAAGCAGAGCCGGCTGGAGCAAGTGGCTTTCAAGGAGCACACTCTGGCTGTTCAGGTGCAGCGGGACCGGGATGAGTTCGAGCAGATTCTCCGGTAGGCAGGACCTGGATTCCTCTTTCTCGTATTGCAGCAAACCCACTGCCATCGAGTGGTCCCGTTCGGAGCCATCCTATAGGACAGGGTAGAGCTGCCCACTGTGGGTTTCTGAGGCTGTCAAGCCTTATAGAGTGAGTAGAAGGTCTCATCTTCCTCCTGAGCAGCGGCTGGTGGTTTTGAACACATTACACCACCAGGCATCTTTGTCCTGACCAGCTGGATGGTGGAACGATTTCACAGGTACTTGAGCCAATGATCTTATGATTTAGAGAACTGGAAAATCGCAGTTGGACATGCTAAAGAAATTAGGGATTGCTGGACTAAATTACCCCGGGGCAATGTTACGGTATATACATTCATTTGTAGAGGTGGCCGCTCCCACCATAACCACCAGCCCTATATGTTAGGGGTGAGACTGCAAGAGGAGAGAAGCAGACACCCAAGCTCACGGCCATCAGGTTCATTCCAACTCACAGGGACTGCCTGGGGCAGAGTCGAAGATGCCTGCAGGAGTCTGAGACTGCAGCGCAGTGGTTCTCAACCTTCCTCATGCCTCAGCCCTTTAATGCAGTTCCTCATGTAGTGGTGACCCCCAACCTTAAAACTATTTTCATTGCTACTTCATCACTGTCATTTTGCTACTGTTATGGATTGGGCGACCCCTGTGAAAGGGTCATTTGGCCCCCAAAGGGGTGGAGACCCACAGGTTGAGAACTGCCGCTGTAGATCTTTATGGGAGTAGGAAGCCTCATCTTTCTCCTGAGGAGCAGCTGGTGGTGGTGCACTGCTGAGCTTGAGGTTAGTAGCCCAATACGAGGATCTTGAGAGAGAGTGAGAAAGAGAGAGAGAGAGAAAGAGAGAGAGAGAGAGAGGCAGGCAGAGGGAGAGAAGAGAACTACATATACTCAGGGCTGGGAGTCAGTGGAGCAGGACGTGCAGGGAGATTGTTCCCACTCCGTTGACAGTGATGTATTATTAATGCACATAAATTCAAGGCTCTGTGTGGGACGCTATGGGAGACATCTGAGATGCGTAAAGCACTGTCCCTTGTCCATTCATTTCCGGGGAAGGATGTCAGAGGTTTGCATTTGGATGGATCTCGCCAGCTTTCCTGCCTTGCTAGCTCTTTATCCTTTCTGTCTTCTGGCTCAAGGATAATTCCAACATAAGCTACACCCCCCTCACTCCCCCTCCCACCCCCGGTATATCATAAGACACCACAGCTATGCTGGCTTCCCTTTCTACGGTCAGCTCTGCAGCCTTTGGGCCTGTCTCCTGGGGTGCTCTCCTGACTTGAACGTTTCATTGGGAAGGGGGACTCTGTAAGATCAGATCTGTAACAAACAGAATTGAAATCAGAGGAGGCTGGATACCAAAGCAGAGGCCTTATGCTCAGAAGCGTAGAGATGGAACAGAACCGTGTGGCCCAGCTTCTTGGTTTAAATGCTGTAGCTCCTTCTGGGCACCGCCTTGGTCAGTTGGCCGCTACTTATCCAGAGGCAGAGCAGAGCTGTGGGACTCGCAGTCCTTTCCAGATCAGGAAAGATTCCTGGTCTTGGATAGGACTGCAGGCCTCTAGCCTGTTCCCACCGGCAGTGATGTCCTTTGGCTCTGTAACTTTCCTCGCCCTCAAGGGTCAGGCCATGGGCTCAGGACTCTGAAGAAGGTAACTTCCTGAATGGCCCAGATGTTCTGCCCGTGGGCTCCGACTGTTTTTCAGGTGCTCCCCCCACCCCCCACCCCCTGGCTTCTGTGGCCTTGGATATCTCTTTTGCCTTTAGCAGACACTAATAAATGCTAATAGGATGGGATTAAAGTCATACTTTTGCCGATGACCCATTTGTCTCTGCTCTATTTTGTTTGCCTGAAGCATGAGCTCTAGCCAGTTATTAAAGCTGGACCAGCTCATGGGAGCAGTTCAACTTTGCCTGTTGTTCTCGCCGAGCAGCTAGACCAAGTGTCTTCAGGGCCACACGACTGCCGTGGTGGGTGTCTGTCTTCACTCAGGGCATCTCCGCCACAGCCACTCCCCTCCAACTTTCCCCCCTTCAAAAGCATGCTCTCCCACACAGGCCAGATAGAAACATCTGCTTCTGCAAAGAGGGCATCTCCATATCTCGGCCCACTGGCTAAGAAGAAACAGCTAACCAGCCCTTCTCATTGGTTCTTAGAAAACCCTGGGAACTATTGAAAGATCATAGACTTTATGTAATACATGATATATGTATGTATGTATATATATA